GGGGACACGGACACGTTATCCAGTATATACTGTATATAAAGTCATAGAATCATAGGACTGGAAGGGCCCTCGAGAGGCCATCGAGTCCAGCCCCCCCCCCAACCTCCTGTTCCAGCACCATAAATATACCCCCGGCACAGCCTTGTATACCCCGCTGGTTATACTCATGTGCGGGATATACAAGACATTTTTTTAACTCAAAAAGCAAAAACTGCGAGGTATATTCAGGTGTGGAGTATATTTGAGTGCGGGATGTATTTGCTAAAAGATGGTACTTCACAGTTAATTGTTAAGTGTGTGTTTGTTAGTGTAGCTAATGGTTCTGCTCCGGCTCCCCTCGGGGAGGGGAGGGCATGCTGGGGCCCCACGGTTTCAAGCCCTGCTGATGGTGCTTCAAGCCCATGCCGTACGGGGAACCACACAAGGACTGCCTCAAGTGCCTTGGGGAAGGCCGCTTGACAGATTCCTGAAAAATCTGTAAGTCATTCAAGCCTCGGACCAAGCGAGAGAGAGACTCCAGGCTGAAGTTAATCTTAATGGAGTCCACACTTCGCGGCGCTGGAGTCAGAGGTGTCGGTGAGGAGTACTCCAGAGACAATAGGGGGCTCCGACCACACTCGCCATCCAGCGGCACCGGGGTACTAGCCGGCAATGAGGCATCGGTCCCAGTCTCCGGTGCCAGCGACTTCAAAAAAGTCAAGGAGAGGGAGATCACCTGCCAGGCATGAACAGGCAGAGCACTGTGGGGCCTCCCCTTCCTCACACGGAAGGCAAGGGCTGGCACCCCGGAGGCCCAAGACCTGCCTGTGGAGGAGGTCACGTGGCCTGGGAGTTGATAGAGTTGACAGCCTCACCAGCTCCAGCACCGCAGGGTACCATAGAGCGCAAGACCAGAGAGATCCTCGGGGCTGGGCCAGTCCCTCCCTCATCCCAGGTACTGTCAGCGCCAATACACCGGCCCGGCCCCATGGACCTCCAGCACTGGGCAATCTGCACCGGTGCAGGCTCATCCAGCACCCGAGCTATATATGGCAATGAGTCTCCCAGTACCAGGAGCACCAGACATGCCACTGCCGGCACCCCTGCTGCACAGGAGTAAACCATCAACAATGGTGCAGCAGGGAAGAGAGGTGGAACGGGCTTCTTCCATGGCACCACTCTGGGCGGCTTCCGAACTATCGTTGGAGTTGGACGGAGAGTCCCTGGTGTCCAGGGCATCCTCCCACCGTACCAGGGACTCCAGAAGGTCACGGTCCTCACAAACCTTGGAGCCTCGGCAGTGCTCCCATTTTGGGCACAGATCCATTCCGAACCCACCCACCTCCCCTCGTTGGAAGTAGCATGTGAAAAGGATCTGAAGGGGGAGAGGGCCAGCAGCGGGTTATCTGCGTGGGTATACTGGCACCACTCCAGGGGGTTCGCTGGCTGACCCAACGGGTGCTGCTAAGGGCAAAAATCTTCCAGAACTTGTGCATGGGGTGCATGCACACCTAGACGGAATGGACATAAGCAACACATCTCAAAGAACAGCAGTTACAGGTAAGCAACCGTTTTTTCATTAAATGTATTTTTTTTTTATTGCCTATCAGAATTCCAGCTGCACTGTCATCCCTCAGGAACAAAGGATGCTTTCATATTTATTTTGATATCTTTAGTACCCAATCTTGCAAACACTCAGTATCACCAATCATATGTATGTTTTTACACATAGAGACGCGCCTGTCAGGAATGGTCTAGGCGCACTTAATCTTGCCTCTTTGCAGGGAGGTTGACTTAGATCAGTGTTTCTCAACTTTTTTTTGTAAAGTACCCCCTTTTTAAAAAAAATAAAGTACCCCAGTACTTACAGTTTTCAGATGCGCACTATTTTTGTTCTTACTGTTGCAACACATTTGTTTAATCAACTTAATCATAGCCAGGCAGGCGACTAAATTTTTTGGTGTAAAAAGTTATAAAAATAATAAAACACTAAAAATCTAAATAAAAATTCAGTTTTCTCCAAATTTCAGTTGTTGACATACCTCCCCTCCCCAACTTCTCTCGGGTATCCTGTGGGTACTTGTACCACTGGTTGAGAGACACCGACTTAGATGATCTCAAGATCCCTTCCAGTCCAACGTTTATATGATTGTCTGTAAATCTTTGCAAGATTGGTTCTTAAAATAGCCTATAGAAAAATATACTAAACTTAATTAGTTGATGGGTGTATTTAAGTGTGCTGTCTTATTCAAACAATAACCAAACGCATTACTGATATTAAATATTTTTTGGTTACAGATGCAGCTAGAAACTCTGTTTTGAAAGATCTACGATTGGTGAATGCAAAACTAGGATCTCTTGAATTAGGCAAGTAGTTTTTGAGCACAAGGGTATGTAAGTATCCTAGTTCTGCTCCACTGGTGTGTCAGCAGGAGTCTTACTTAAGAGAATCAAGATTTTGATTCATTATTCTGTATGTGAAATTCCTAACTGGCAGGAATTCTTTGTATGTTTTTACCAACATTTATTTTACACGTATAGCAGACACCAAAATTTATGTATGAGGGCATTTGAGTGATAATTTTGTAATTGGTCTGTTGTCAGTATTGTTGGTGAAACACCAGAGAAACCTACTGTACGAAAAAGTAAAATGTCTTGTATAGTAGCATAACTCCAGATGATACTAGCTTTTTTTAAAAAAGCATTTCCCTATATCACTTCTAGTATTATACAGTCAGTTAGTTAATTTTTCAGGCATTGTAATATATTCCCGGATATGCATGTTGACATCAGTGTCTGGTTGTGATTGTTCTCAATTCTGTGGCAAAATATGACTAGTAATTTATCCAGCATAGAAATGCATCTCACAATTAGTGTTCACTTAAAATCTTTATTTTAAATGGACACTTGAAATATATGGTAGCTTAAATTCTCAGGGCAGATTTTTCAAGGTGGAAGGCACGCAACTCTCATTGACTTTTGGTAGGATTTAGGCATCTTTAATTACTTTTTGTGTCTCTTGAAAGTCTCCCAATTATAGGCAGTCCCCGACTTACGCGGATCCGACTTATGTCGGATCCGCACTTACGAACGGGGCTTTCTCGCCCTGGAGGTCGGGGCGAGAAAGCCCCGTTCGTAAGCTGCTCTGGTGCCCCTGGTCCGCTGGAG